ACAATATAGACATAGTATAACTAACCCATGTAAAATTTTTACCATAAATTATAATCATTTTAAGTAAAAATATAGTAGGATTGCAAATATAAAATGATAAGAGAAAGTAACCATTTTTAAGTCCACCAAGTTAAGAATTAATAGTCAATACAATTAGAATATTTTACAAATATTGGTTCAGATAACTATATTTTTATTATTATTTTATTATTATCGCGTAGTGCGCGATTTTATGACATATGTAGACTATTTATAACACTTTCATCAAACTAAGAAGTAGTCTACCACGTAAGGCAGTTGGCTCACGATCCAGAGGTCCCGAGTTCGATCCCACCAAGGTAAGTGTTTTTTTCAGATACGAGAAAATATTTATAATCATAAACTGCATCTTAAGAAACAAATTATAGTTAAAAAATAGTAATAAAATTTCGAAATAAATATATTTTTTTGTTTTAAAGATGGTTACTCTTGTCATAGTAAGGCTGACTATAAATCTGTGTCCATTTTACTATATTTTGTATGTTTAACTAAACTATAAATATATAGTTGATGCCAAAATTCACTATAAAATATAGTGAGATTATAGTTATTCCAACTATTTTTTTCTCTCAGTGTAGGACATCCAGATAGCAGAAATTTAATACTGGACTTTTTGCAAACTTTATAATATGTATGTTGGATAATGCGTACGTTGAAATTCAAAATCAACATACATTTATAAATATAAGTTTAAAAACAAGTTTTGTATAAATATGTACGGTATAATGGAAGTTTTTTTAAATAAAAGACATGAGAGAAGTTTCATGTTTTAACGAAATTATTTTTTAAAAAATTCGGTGCAAGGAATATATTACCTCTGGTGTTACCGTATTTTATATTCTTCCTGTTTAAAAAAATCATGAATACATTGGATTGATGTTATTGAAAAAATATTTAATTTTGTTGATCAGGATTACTTTGTTTATTTTTCTCTACTCAATCATGTTATAGAGAGAACGTTGTTACTGATCGCAATATTGACGCTTAATTCACTTCCGGCGCGTTCGCTCGCAACATTAAGCTACTTGCGAGCTTATTCCTGTCGATAAATGCAGGCCGATCCATTAACAATCCAATTTCTCACGCCTCAAGGAAAGAACTCTATAAGGAATTAACCCGCCCGACAAACTGTCTTCTCTTCTCTCCTTACGACGCTCTTCAGCCTTTTCCACGGCGGTCCAGGCGGTACGAGCGCGATTCGCAGTCTCCGCTCGAACGAGGCAAATGGAACGCGGAGGGCCTCTCCCGTAGGATCGATAGAATAGTGGGGGGATAGCTCTACCGGGCGGTCGAGAGAAGGACGACGATGTTGGGCGGTTGAAGCGAGATGAAACGACGTGGTGCCGAGGTCGCAGGGGGTGGAAGAGATGAGGGCGCTCCGGCGCGGCGGCTTTCGCGTCGCGCCATGGTTGCTGCGAGCAGCGTCGGCGTCGGCGTCGTCGTCGCGGTGGCCGTCCTCGTCGCCGGCGAAAGCGGCCGCCACCAGATCGTACACGCAGCAGCGGCCAAAGGCAGTCTCCGGCTCCGGCGCTCGGTCCAGTTCGCCTACCGCCGTCGCTCGGTTAAGTACGTAACCGTCAGTGCCGGTGACGTCGCGACGCACGTCGTTTCGTGTCATTACGTATCCGCGTATCCATCAGTGACGTTTTACTGCCTCGCGGGACTGAACCACGCGGGTGATGCATGGTCCGTAACGCGTGATAACCTCCGGACATCTCGCCCCCAGAATTCATGATCGATGGAAGGGTAACAAAACTCTTTCCCGTCGCGAGCGTCAAGTTCGTTGAACCGGTAACTTGGAAACGAAGGAAAAGGTGCGAGGAAACGACGGGGTGAAGGATCTCTCCACGAAAGAGTAGTGATAGCCGCCGGAATCGAGTCCGTAGATCGACATCAACCTGGCCCAAAAAGGTACAGGGACTTGTTGTTTGAAAGTGCGAGTGTGTCCGTAGATATTCGCGAGATGTTCTATACTTGCGTTTAGGCAATTGCAGTGTCTAATTTGCGACGTGATATTTCTACTGGTTAGGAAACTAGAGCGCAAAAGAAATGCAGGAGATTCGTTTTCCGAAAGTGCGATAGTGTCCACTCTCTTACCGTTAATTTAATACAATGCCCTACTTGCGCCTGGAAAGTTGCGAGGTCTGTTTCGTTCTTCTACTATCTACGAGGATCTCTTAGAGAGATATGTTCAAATTGTTTTTTGTTTTAATCCAAGAATGTGAGGTAGTTCGTGCGTTTCTCTACTTGCATCCAGGAATGTCTGACATATTACACGATCTTACTACTTGTTTCTAGACTAGAGTGATATAGGAATAGCTATAAAGCTATTTTCTGAAGATAGGAGATTGTTAATAGATTAATCGATGTGTTTTTTATTATTTATATTACAGAAGCTATTATATCTGACCTGTTGTTTAAATATATTGATTTAAACAAAACTTCTACAGTTTTGCTTTTAATACAATTCGAAAGTCATCTTACATGTTCGCGTCATTCTTCATTTATATATTTAGAAATGTAAAATGTAACACATCTAATTTGTTAAATAATACTTCTTACTGCTGTTTTTAAGCTGATTGATTCGTAAAACTATATATAAAGTGTTAGTTTTAAGAAAATACCAGACTATCTCAATTAATCTTTTGAATTCGTATATTTTATCACATCTACGAAATTTTCGCGTCCGATTTCTACCGCGTGTTTCTACTGACCCAGAAATATGCAGGCAATCGAAATTTTTGAGAACGTGAGAGTGCTAATCCCTCAGAATTGCGACGTAATCTTCCACTTGTACCACAAGGTTCTTGTCAAGTCTGATCAGTTTGTGGTATTTCTACTAGCTCGGAGATCGACAGTTTCCCAGGTAGAATGCGCGAGCGAAGTTGGTGTCTACGAAAGCGGGTGGGATTCGAGAGACGTGAAAGGGACAAAAGTTTTCGATTTACGATTGAAGCTTTGGCGCCGAACGGAACTTGCTCATTGTAAATTCCTTTTGTTTCGTAGGATCGCGAACCTGGAAATAGCCTTTGCTCTCTCGAGGTGTATTCACAATTCCCAGCGCACTTGTGTGTCGACACCCGTGTGTGCTCGCAGGTGTACTTGTTCTCAAAGATAAGGTTAAAGAATATTTTCTAAGATCAACTTTTATTCATATATACGCGCAAGACCGAATATTTTATATCTGCTTTTATTGCAACTCCACTTTCTTAAAGTAAAACAATTTTGAACATAGTCATCGCATATGATATTTGAATATTACTCATCGAATAGTTCCTAACAAATCTTCGTTTTTTTTTTTCATAAATTCTATGGATTAATGAAAACTATTAAACGTAAAATTTTTAAAACTTTAAAGCATATAAGCCACAAGAATCCAGACAGCTAACAAAACCTTCTCCTCGATCAACTTTTGTTAAAGTTTACTTTAACAGAATATTAATCTGAGGCTTAGTATATAGCCAGAATACGTAATGCCGAAAATTCCAAAGTTGCAAAGAAAGATATTGCGTGGAGCTAAACTTTTCGTCGAGGAAAAATTGCCGCTAAATTCATCGGAGGATACGGTTTTGGAGTTTGATGCAAATTTCGTGAAACGCCCCGTGGTATTACATAGGAGGTGAACGCTCTCTCCCTCAGTACTGTCCTATATTTGCGCCTCGCTCAACGAAGACGGCGAAGCGACGCTTCAGAAAAAACCAAAGCGCGGATTAACGCGGATCGACGTGTACTCGAAGCCTCTCGCATAAATAAGTCGCATTTCGCGCGCATACCAGTTCGAAGCCATTATCATCTGCGCGCGGAAAACACGACGCCGTTGCCCTCGATTTATTATCCTCGTTCACTCCGCCGTGCCGGCGAGCCGCGGAAACGATGAGGACAATGCCAAAAGTTCGCGAAAATGCCAACTCGCCGCGTCCCGGTCCCCATTTCCTTTCGCGCGAGCATGCGAGCGTGACTCGGTCGTTGAATTCGCCGGACCGCTTTGCATTCCAATGAATATTAATCGAATGCAATTATTAAACGCAAATTGGAACTCAAACAGCGACCATTTCGTCATCCCTTTTCCCGCCCTACCGCGCTAGAATTGGCCTGGATGTCCGGCTTCATTCGCACGCATCTGTCTATCTATCTGCGTGCGAATTTGATTTGGGGAGCCACGAATTCGTATGAACAAATCCCTTGGTATCATCGAGATTTTCCAAATCAAACACCCGAGTCTCGAGCCTTAAGGGAATGCCTTGCTTCCTCCATTTGTTCTCCTTTTTTGACGAAACTCTTAAACGCGTCAGTGAAATCGCTTAAGGAATTTTAACAGCGACGACTGATTGTTCAGGATGGAGCTAATTTCTAACGATCATTAATTCAGGGATATGACCGAGAAAGGAAAATTCGTCTTTTATTATCGTACGCAATCTACATTTTAAAATAGAAAAATATTTCTGATCAAAATTTCTACGGCTCGTCGTAGCGATTTAAAATTTCATTAGTCGTCGCATAGATTCGTAATTGAATCTGCGAGAAAAAAGATTTCCTATTGCAATGTGCTTATTAGGATTATTATCAGCGAATTACGGTTCAATTTTCCAATAATTATTATTATCATCATTCGCATCGATTAAATCGCCCGTTCGATTAAAATGCATTAGCAAAGCAAATTTTATTGCGCTCCGCAACCTATTTAGGCTACGATCAACAAGTGACGATGGCAGTAATTTATGCATCTATAGATAGATTTTTCGATTTCTTGGTTTGTGAATAATTTTTTTTAACTTATGTTATTTATATTTATTACACTTGCACCTAAGTATCTATATTTCTCTATTAAATTGTATTAAAAAATGGAAAAATAATAAAATTGAAATTAAATTGTAAAATAATCCCAACATTAATTGACATTAATTTTTTTGATATAATTAATAAAAATAAATTATGAACTTCATTTATTCCTCTCTTATAAAAGTTCTATCGTTACTTTTTGAAATAAGTATAATATCCTCTAGGATGGAAATAATTTTATATTAATATTTGCCTCAATGTTACATCGAATATCCATCTATTATATTTTACCTTGTGCAATAATTTCGCTATTTAAATTGTTGCAGAAATGTGCGGATTAATATGCAAATTTTCCACGTGAATAATTGATTTTTTTAGTACAACTTATCGATCCATTCCGTTGCTAAGATACGGACAAAAATTGGCGTTTAGATATGTCAGTCACACGTCGTAAATTATGTTTGCATCGATTTCTCGCGAAAATGATTCGTACTTGTTATTAAATTCAAAATCGCGATTTATTTGCATCCGGTGGAGGGCAGGAGAGCGAGATGGGAATATCAATTAACATCAGATTAATTAGTCACGGGGACGAACTGACTATCTTCCACGACAGGCTAAGACAGTTAACTTGAAATTTAACTTGCGCATCGCATCATGGCTTCAACGTTGCCGACGTGAACTACTCGCGTCAAGATGGATCGCGCTAATGGATTAACGTTCTTACGACGCGTTTCATTTGTGTGCGTGCTTCATTAACGAGATTAAAAATCTAATCAACAAATTTTCCGAAGAGTAGATAAAATTTGAAAACACTTAATCCTCCAAGATCGTCATAAATATGCGAAAAACCAATCGCGCGGCGGCGGCGACTCGAGAGTCAAATCTATATTCAAATAAATGCAGCAGTATGATATATTGTTAGTGGAATCTATTGTATCTATCTTGTTTTACATTTTCCGCTTTAGTCCGTTGGAACTTCGTTTAATCGACTGGACACGCGCGAAAGCTGAAACGCTTACAACACTATATGCAATCGATACTTTACATTTGTCGTTGTAAGAAATATTACCAAATCAGTCGCCTTTCACGATATCCCATTTTATTTTGTGGGATTTGCACACACATAAAATTCGTGAATGCGAACGCATGTATCATGAGCGCAATTGAAGCGTTCTCTATGGATTTCAATCGCGGCCGCGATTTTATTTCTTAATACAAATTTTTTATTTCAAATATACTATTGTTTACTTTATCGGAATTGTACGTGCTATTATTTGCTCTGAAGCGATTATACGAATGCATAAGTATCTTGCAATTGAAAACAGTTTAGCAAAATTGACGTATTTGCTTGGAAATCAGCACAATAGAATATAATTTATTATGAATTGTATTGTTAATATTTATAGAAACAAATATTTCTCTCGATATTAATCGACATATACAAAAAGAGAAAGAAGATAAAGATACTATAAAAAATTAAATAAATGCTGTAATCATTAAAAATACAGTTTATTATTTCCTATTGTTGTATTTTTTATTATTTCTTTTATCACACTTTAATTTCAATTTTTTTCTTTATTATAATCATTCTCAATGTTAGAAATCTAATTAACTAACTATGAAAATTACATCAGAAAAAGCGCGAATTATCATTACAACAGTCTTATTATACTTTCTTATATTTTTTAGAGCATAATTTTATATTTACTAAATTAGTTTTGCCAAGCTTAAAAATAAATTGTAATATGTAATGTAGTTCTAATTAATTTATGCATTAAAACATTTTTTTATTATTAAAACGCTTAAGGTGGCGCGAATCAATCTTCCGAGAATTAATAATGTAATATTGTCATTATACGTATACACAGATCCAATGACATTTAGTCACACGGGAGAGAGAAAGAGGTTTTAAATGCACGTGAAAAGGGCAAAAACTGGGCTTGGCCTCGGAGGATTAGAGATACATGTCAGAGAAATTAGTATTCCATAGTGACGTCTAACGAAGCTTGCCATCAGGCAACCCTATTATTTCTCCTTTTTCTTCTTCGAGAACATCGGAGCGATCATCCATCGTGGGTGTTTATTTCACGTCACGCCTCATATTAACGGGCCATTTGAGTCTTACATCC